CTGGCTGCTGCCGGGGGCAGCCCCAGATTGGCCTGTGCCAGACTGACCAGCCCCAGACTGAGGCGGCTGCCTGCTGCCAGGGGCAGTCCCAGACTGGCCAGATCCGCTTGCAGACCGGCCCATTGTTGGTATGCCTGGAGCAATGAGTAATTCGGCCAAGCCTACGCCCCATCGTCTTTGCGGGTCTAGCGAGATGGGTTTAGCAAGGTGCGTAGAGAAGCTAGACTTTACATTGTCGGGAAAAATATCTTCTGAGCTGTCACTACTTAAAAACAGAAAAAATGAATTTTTTTCGTAGGCCATGTTACATTAAATTACGCAAACTGGCCTCGGACACAAACTCCGTTTTGGTGGAGCCCCTATATTTTACTTCGTACTCCAACTCTTTACTACGAGGTACCTCGCGGTACGACACCACCTTCTCAACCTTTTGCCCGGACGCGCTCGGATTGAATGACACAAGAGACAGCTCGTGCTCGTAACAGCCGGTTTTTATAGCTTCCCCCGACAGATCTTTCAGGTGGTACAGCGGTTGTGGTAAATAGCCGGTAGAATGCTTTGTCTGCACCCGATAAATGCGAAATATTTCACTGGTGTATCCCTGATAGTAGCCCCGATCCGTCAAACCACTGCCCCGGTCTATAAGCAGACGCACATAGTCGCCCACCCTAAAGCGAGGCTGCCGTGGCGGTCGCCGCGCATGGGCCAAATAGTTTCGGAACCAAATGTCAAAGACGTCATTTTCCGTAACCTCGGCGGGTGCGAAGTGAGTGGCAGAGTGCCGCGTGCGGTTATACGCGTCGACCACACGCTGCAAGATGTCAGTATATTTAAACACCCCCCTAAAATAAAAGATTTTAAACAATTTTGATTTTAGAGATCTTATCAGCCTCTCGACCTGACTAGCTTTAACTAAGCCACCCGCCGGCTGCAAGACTATCCCCCTTGACTTTAGCAACGTACGAAAGGCACCACCAAGAAAGGCCCCATCGGAGTCACTTCGAAGCACGCTGCACACTCTGGGGTAGGCCCGATCGAGGATGGCAGTAAATGCCTCTGCGGCAGCCACCATTGTTTTTTGTTTCATGGCCTCGGCCCAGCAGTACTTATCAAAAATGTCGACAACTACCATAATGTACCGATATGGCGCGTTCCATGTCCTGACATTGTCCATAATCATTAAGTCAATCTCCCAAGTCTGGTTTCGTCTAGTGGGCAAATACGGGTTCATTGGGAATTTTCGCCGCCGAGGCACGGTGCTCGTGTACAGGGGCTGCGTGCGTAGCCATGGTAATACGTCGGCCTTAAGACCGGCTGGGGCAGCCCGCCGAAGCTTCTCTACCGAGGCAAAACTCGCCGGCTGGTCGAAATCGTAGTACAGATCGCCTAAAGTCGTTTTAGCCGCGGGATCCTCACTCGAGCCTCGTCTATGTTTCGCCATCGGAGCGGCGCACCCTTGGAGCGTACGCGCCGGGGTGTGTGATCTAGCGGTTCGTCTACCACTACCGCTGGTCGCTTTTGCACGCGGTGGTATTTTTCTTTTACTTTTTTGGCCGCCTTAGCCTGGGCACGATCTCTTCTTACTTTCGGTGCCGCCGGCGGCGATGGTGGGGGGCGAAATCGCACCTGAGGAACGGCCCGCGTATCCGACGTTGTGTCACCCCCCTTTTTATCCTCACGCTGCTTAAACCACTCGTAGAGCGCATGCAGCTCGTCCTGCATTGCCCTAAACTTGGCGAGCAAGTCCACATCATCGGACTTAAGGACGTTTGCCATGTCCTTTGTGAGCTGGTGGACTCGCGGCAGTCGCAGCTCAGCATCGATATCTATCGCCCCTCCCACCTGCTCCGGTTGTTTTTCCAAAAGGCGCTCTAACTGGGCGTCACTCATAATGTGGTAGCGCTTCATGCTGAAACGAGTTTAGACAGGAGCCCACTCAGGAGAGAGCCGAGCAACACGCCCAAAAATCCACCACGCTGCGAAAGAATGCGCTTCTTTCGAGCAATGGGCACCTGCCTGTGGGGGGCCGCCAAAAGCCGTAGCTCGGCCTTGTATTTGCGCAGATTAGCTTTACAGCGCGGTGAAATCGGCTGGTTTCCGTGCAGCACGTTTAAGCTGCACTCGGACAGTGTTTTCATAAAGCTAGCATCTGCCGTTTTTATAATAGCCCTTCGCAAGGGGGGAGGTCCCGCCTGGAGAGCGCGCAGTAGCGGGATGTGCCGCTTAAGACGTCTTTTCGTCGGACAGGGCATGCTGAATCTGCGCGTCGGAACAAAAGACTGTCACGGCGGGGTCGTCTGGAAAAATTTGCGTCCGAATGCGGAAGGCGTCCGGCACGGTGGAGGCTGGGTGGCAATCCACAAAAAGATAGCGGTAGGGTTTGTCGGCCACCTCCCTGTTATATACCTCCTGATACTGTCGCCAGTTCGTCGGGCTAAACTGCCGCAGGAACACACCGATTTGCGTGCGGTCGCGAAGCGCGCGAAAAAGGACAAAATAATTGGAATTGAGAGAAAGCGTTCGAAAGTTCTTGCCCTTAAAGAATAGGTTATGCAGACAGAGCACTACTGATTTCCTATCGTGATGAACGCCACGCGTGGCAAGCTTCAAAACAGCCTCACTATCAAAACATTCTTGGGAGCAGTCGTCCACCAAAATTAGCGAGTCTTTGGGAAAGCGATCAAAATCGTCTGGTACTCCTGCGTGAAACTGGATGCCCGGAACGTTGGCTAGCTGTGCCCGGGGAACCGACCCCTCGCCGGCATTGTAGCACCAGATAATTTTTGTAAAGTCGTGTCCATACAGCTCTCGCGCAGACTGGGCTAGACGCACGCACCACGTGCTTTTCCCAGCCTGGGAACTCCCCACGGCTAGAAGCAGACTTGGGTGGACAAGGCCTAGAGCGTTTGCCATCCTCGCGACCGCCTGGGAGGATTTCGCCTTTTATAACCCGCTGGAGCTAGGGGGCGATCAAGAATGTCTTTGCCGCGATATGCGCGCCAGATGGGATCGGCAAACCAGCCGGGGTGTTTGGGGGGCAATGATGTATCACCGCCGCCGTGACCCTCATATTCAGTTTTGGGTGGTGGCGGCTTCTCACTATCGTCCCCACTTGTTAGCGAGTCTGAATAGTACATCGACCAAGTGGGCTTTTTAGCCGCGCGCTTAATGCGGAAGGGGGCCGCCTGCCAGGGAGGTGGGAGAGGTGGGGGCTGTGGTGGGGGCTGAAGCACCCTTCGAGTGCGCCGCCACACTCTAGGCGCGGCTGCGGGGGGTTCAGCCGCGGGGAATTCCCCACCACCACGCACCTGCGGGCGGGGCGGGTTTGCGGCATGGGAGGCCGGTGGGGGTGACTTTGCCCAGTGGTATAACCTATGCAATTCGTCTCGGCCTGCCCTTAATCTATCATAAGACCTAAGAATGTGTAGTTTCTTATCAAGAAGTGTTCTTAGCCTACTGTCCGTAACCAGCTCATACCGAGCCATTGCTATTGGCCGCACTCTTCAGGATCATTTATATCCACACCCTGCAAATGTGCTTTTAAAGCTCTACCGTGCTTCAGCAAGGCTGACCAAGCAGTTTGTCCCAAAAATACTTGTTTGAAACAGGGTATGCCACAACATTCCTCAAAGTTGGAGTCGCGTTCAATTAGGATAAATGCTTTGTCACGAAGGGTTATAAATTGTAGAAAATGAGCGGGTAGGCGATAGCAACGCCCTGCACCGTCCCATCCATCAACTAGATGTGAGGTGATAGCCTCGACGAGATGTCCCAGCTCAAGGATGCTAGAGATCTCTCCATCGTTCAGCGAGTCCAGTAGATCGTCACCCTTCCATAGCTGCACGGATCGAGTGCCGTCTGCGTGCCTTGTCGCCACCAGCGCCTTTTTATTCCACGGGTTTAGCTCAATGCGGATATGGTGGGCCATGGCGCCTGGAAGAAAGTGGGACAAAGCAATGTCACTAATACACGAAATACGTCGCCACACCGCGAAAGCCCCGCGTCCTTAGCGCGGATATACTCTTTTGACAGCACTCGACCAACTCGGACTGCCCATTCAGGTGTCCGGTTATAACTAGGACGTGTATGTCCACTAGCGTGGGAGTATACATCTCGGAAAAAATGCGTGAAACAGATTCAGGAGAATTCGGAGGTTCCACACAGACAAAAGCAGATTTTAGGTTGGGAAGCTCGCGGAAAACGCTTCTACATTCAGAGCCTACATCCAAACAAGTGAGGCTTTTACAGGCAGCCATTGCATCAAGTAGGCCCTTCGATGGTGAAAGCGAAGCATAATACTCCAGTTGCTCAACATTGCTTTTGAGCAGGTCCCGCACTAAGTCATGCACCGAATGTGGAAGGCCCCGTCTTTCGTGCACTTTTAGGTTTTTCAGCCTTGGCAGACCGCCCAACAACTCCCCTTTGTACTCAAAATCGGAAGCAACGTGAAGGCGTAACTGCGTGACAGATTTCAGCTGCGATAGCACATACAAAGCACTGTGCCCCTCTTGGGTTTTTACCCCACCGCCTACTAACATGACGACGCGTTTTACGCGCTCCCTACTGCGCCATACCATATCCAAGTAGCCCTGCCGTATTCCACGCGGCGGCCTGTCCTCAATAAAAATCTCATCGTGTACAACAAGCGTTGATTCCTCAATCGCCTTTTTAAAATTGCAAATGTTTTGCGCCATTTGCAGAACACTATTAGGCCGATAGGGTCGAAGAAACAAGCTTCCTAGAGCGGGTGCCTTGGCCAGCACGGCCATTTCGGCGGGCGGGCTATTTCGGTCTGAATGCACAAACAAATCGAGGCTGATGTTTCGCCAGATCGCGGGATCGCTTGACACAGCCTGCCAATGCTTGCAAACAAGTGGCAAGCTCTTCAGGAGCGTTGGCGCATGCTGCACGCGCGAGAAGATCTCTATCAAAAGCTCGTCTGGGAGGGAGTCCATCTCCGAGACACTGCGAAAAACAAGGAAAAACATCACTGCAAAGTACTACTCCCACGGCCGCCAATAGCCATCGACCGCCTGGGGGTGTCCGTATGGGAGAATAGTGCCGTCCATTTTGACGAAAACCTTGTCGTCATAGCTACTTAGTGACACTCGGTTGAGCTCCTTGGTAAAAATGCGAAAGCCCTCTACATCCAGGCGCGTAAAAGAGTGCATCATGCGACCCTGCTGGGCTAGGCAGCTTATGTAGTCTGCAAGTGAAATTCTATTACGCACTGCCGATTTCTTTACTCCCTTTGCTTTTTTTGTGATTTCATTGTCCTCCGTCACTATGGCATACAGCTTGCTTCGCAGAAAATAGCCCGCTCTTATAATTCTACCACCATACTGATCTTTTATCCTGTTAAGCTTCTGTTTTCCTGTGGGGTCGTAAAGGGGGTGTTCTGTGGGAAAGTTGCTGGTGTCCAAGTGCTCGGCCACCTTGTGCAATTCCTTGTACATGTCAACACCCTGTACTTCAAGCAGCAGACTATCCGTGTCCAGGTACGCACACTTCAGAGAAGGGCCAAAAAGCGGGCTGAAAATGTCGTAGAAAAATCGGTAAAGAATGATTTTTGACAGGTCCAGGATGCAGAGCGCGACAATGAGTGGTCGGTCCATGACAACACGACGTGGTTTTGTCTCAATGGCAACGCAGTTATCCTCCACAATTTGCCACCCGCTGACGAGCTGCATCCGGACGGCTTTTTTTACACCCCCACTACTACCCTCAAAGCGGACATTCCTGAAACGCTGCTTCCTCAACAAAAAACTGCCGTAGGAGCCCGAATTACATGCGGCTTTTGCGGCATTGCTCTGTGTTGTGGTGGTGGCGGAGCGCCGAAGGTCGTTATTGAGGTTGACCCAGTCCCGGAGCCAGAAGCTCTGTTTGAATTCAATAATGTAGTGAATTTTTGTCAGCTGAAGGCCGTGTCTCAGGTAAAAGACAAGGGCCTCCCCGTGCAGGAGTATCTCCTTTTTGTCGAGCTGTGTAGCAAGCAATTTGCGGACTCCGGGCGGGAAACGCAGCTTGTATTTTTGCAGGAATTTTTTGTTGTAGCCCGAGAGCATGGAGTATGTTACAAGCTCGTTGGTGGGGCAGAGCGGCAGATAGCGCGTTTTTTCCTTAATGTCATCGGGGTAATGTAAGTCACAGCAAATGAGAAAGCCCACCGCCGATTCGTTGTTTACCCTTCCAAGCTCAAATGAGCGCAATTCACTTTCAGACAGGTAGCGATAGCCCGAGGTGGGCATGCTGTAAGTCGCCTGGGTTGTTGTGTATAGACTATTTAGGTCAAATTGCCCCAAATATGTGAGTTCTTTTTGGGGGTCATAATTTGAGACTTGGGGATTGTTGGCAATGCAGACGCGTTTAAAGGCGCCCGCAAAGCCGCCCCGAATGTTATTATTGAGTTGCCAGTACATATTTACATCCTGAACTAATTCTAGTGTCTCTTTAGATTTAAAAAGACAGCATTGGTAATAATAGCTGGGAGCTGTGATGAAGTGGGAGGGATCAAGGGCATAATTGGTTCGGTTTGTTGTGACAAAGCTATGCCACACGCATGCCAACATGAGCACGTCAACAATGTTATAGAGCCTCAGGTAGTCGCCCACCGACTGGCATCCCATGACTTCAAACACATAAAGAGCGTGCTCATATTCACTCTGAGTTATGCAACTCTCACTAAGCGAGGAATAAAAGGACTCTATGGGAGGCAGCCGCGGCTCAGAGAGCACCTCTGGCCCCGTCAAGGCCTCGTAGGGGCAGGGCAGTTTTTGGCGCAGAGCCTTCAAAACGTCTGCAGGTTGGGCCTGGAAATGTGCTTCAAAAATGCCAAACTCGTGGGGAGCAAGGGAATTGATAAGCGAATCTAAACTGGCAGGCATGAACTGCAAGGTGTCACAAAATTGGAGGCAATTGTACCTAAATGTGATATATTTACATATTGTTTTAGGCACTGCGGAAAAGTGATCAATGTTGGCATCGAAGCGCCTAGCAATGGCCCTAAGCAGAGAGAGCCCATCGTACCCCTTTAGGTTATGAGCGTACGCCTTAATTACGTGGGACTCGTGCTTGATGCGCAAGTTGCACTCGTTGCACAGCGGACCGACATAATTCCCAAAGCAATGATTGTGGTGGTGCCGCTTCGGGTTGTGTTCAGAAAATTCCCGAAGGCAGCGCTCGCATTGTGTGGCTTGATCGTGACGCAAGATTTCGGCCGGAGACAAAGGGCCCATCGGCAGCTCAGGCCGGTCCAAAAGCTTTTTGGCCTCTTCGAGCAATCGGCTCAGAAGCACGTCGGCCGCGTCCCACCCGCTATAGTAGGTTGGCTCGGTCACGACCCTCCCCATATAATCAACAATCATGAAGGTGAATGTAAACATGTGATGTTCCTGCGTCTTGTTATTCCACGAGTGGAGGGGGGACGGCCGCGCCGTCGCAATGGGAACAAGAAGAGATTCCGTGTCAAATATTATGCGAAAATTTACAGGTTCAGTGAACTCGAAGCGGGTGAATTTTACAGTAGCGTTTTCACCCTTTGGCATAACAATAATTTGATTATTGCTGCCGCAAACTGCCTCGTGCTCCTTGAGAGCCCCACTTGTTGAAAATGGGTATAGGCATCGGTCGCAGTAAAAGCGTTTGTGCCTGTCTGATTTTGAGATCTGAGATGAAAACAGGCTCGATTTTGACGTGATGTAGCCGTAATGTTCGTTATAATACAGAAGTGACAGCGTTTGCCGCGTCTTGCAGTGGGCAGATATGCGCAGTGGGAAATACAACGCTTTCCCTTGCGACACCTCGCAGGAAAATACATTAATGGCCAAGGCGGGGTTTCCCTTTTCAAACGTGTTGATGTCGCGGACTGCTGCCGGAAACTTCATTCCCCGCGTGTTGACAAGATGGGTGTGGAAATCGTAAAACGCACTGCTTTGAAACAGCGCCGGCTCGAGGTCCGGCTGTGCCGAATAAATCAGGCCCGCAAGTACAGAAAACAGAAAACAGCGCCCACCGTCTGCCGGTGGGTCGATGAGGGCGCGACGGCCTCTCTTTTTTTTTATGCACCGGGGGAAGGAGCCGACGCCGCCTCGTAACGGCTCAAGCACAATGACATGCAGGAGAAGTTCCAGAACCTCAACCAGAGCCCAGCCAGAGCCCTGCTCGCTGTAGCTATCAAGTTGAGTGATGAGCTCCATTAGGCCCTTCTCAATCAGATCGTGGGCGCTACTTTCGCCACCCGCAATAGTTTCGGCGGTAGAGCGAAATTTTGCCTCAATGGTCTTTTCCGCTTCGGCATCCACTTCAAATTTTGAGAGAAGCGCCTTGGTGTAGATGTAAAAGCGCACGCTGTGTCCATGTGCGGTCAAAGCTCCAAGGATGTGCTCAAAAGTGGAAAAGAGGTCAAACAGCAGAAGATTCAGGTCACCACGCTCGCGTAGGCTCAAATTAAAGGCGTAACTCTGAACTGTATCATTGAGAGTGCTTGTCACGGCAAAGGTGTCAGTGCTGTCTAGTGTAGGGATTTGCCGCGGCGTGTCGGACTCCTCTGCCGCCGGCTGCTCGTTGTGTGTGCGCATATGCCGTTTTAGATTAAAACGACTTACAAATGTCTTAGAACACTGACTACACTGATGCATTCGAGGCGTGGCCGCTTCCGCCCGCTGGTGGTGGACCTTCCTCATGTGCCGTGACAGACCCGTTCTGTGCTTGTATGTTTTCGGACAAATGGGGCATGAAAACGTCGCCATTATGGACCCGCACTGGGAGAGGTAACAGTGGTAAGGCGATAAGGTGCGCGACGGGGCGGCCGGCGGGGAGGCGGCACGACTGCAGCTCGCTGCAGAAGGTCAGAGAGAGGCTATTATTCGCACGAGCCGGGTCAACGAGGTGTGGCTGGCAGTGTATGCCAACGGCGGCAAGGGACGGCTCGGGAAAGACAAGGCCGATCACACCTGCGGGTAGTTTAACTTTGATGTGCAGGCTGCAAATGATCGGCACGCGCCGTGGCAGCCACTGCTCGTATGCTGAATACAGATGAATGAATGGAGTCTCGTTTGGGCTGAGCTCGGGCGCGCGGACGGTTTTGGAAAGTAAACAGATGTCCATTGCCCCCACCCTTGAGGCTCTAATCACGCAAAATTGTGACAATGTTTGTAGTAGCTTGCGAGCCCTCCCACTTTAGATAATATTTAACGCCGCTTTCAATCTCCTGATTTATTTCAGGGATGTTTTCTTTGATGTCCTCAAACCGCTTGGGAAGGTATATTTTGCGAGGAGTAGGCGCCTCTTTAGAACTCTTTGCAAAGACGATGGTGGCCTGAATGGAGTGAATAACGCCCTGCGACTGCGATTGGAATGTTGTTTCTTCGAGTTTCAGAAGAGTGTAGCGCTGATTTAACTTCAGTTCGTTGAATTTGAGTGCTTTTTGAGGTCGTGCCAACTGTTCAAGCTTGCGTTGGAGCGATGCCATGGGTCTGAAAATGGGAAATGTGTGAATTAGTGTGTGTGTGTGTGTGTGTGTGTGTGTGTGTGTGTGTGTGCGCGCGCGCGCGCTAGGGCGAGTCGTCGTCCTCGCTGGAGACTCGCGCGTCAGGCTCCGTAATTTGGAACAGCCACTGCGCTCGTTCAATTTTGGACCAAATGCGGGCGGCCTCCGCCTGCATGTCGGCCACCGTTTTACCATTGCAGTCTATGACCCACACTACCGTGGGGCTGAATTTTTTTAGCCAGTTATCGTGATTTTCTTCGAGTTGTTGAAAGTACTCTAGCGAGTAGTCCCGCTCCTCATAACGCGCGCGAGTCTTGCATCGGCGAAGACATTCGACTGGGTCAAGCTTTAAATAAATGTAGATGTCTGGCGGGTTGTACATCCCGTTGAAAAAGTATGAGTCGTATATGGCCTCAAGAGTCGCATAGGTCTCACAAGTCATGAGTCGGTTTTTGCGGAGGGCCTCCCAGAAAACAAACTTTTGGGTTGGAAGCGACCTGTCCGTCACTATCGCGGTTTCGTTTAGGACCGAATCCTCTGCATGGCTATTCGCCAGCATCACACTGTGCAGTGCATAGTGCTGAAAGTTGGCTATTTTAGTAGTGTCCCCGTGGAGAGCCGATTCGAGCAGATTGAACCCACCCACGCATTGCCAGTCATCGACCCGCTCAGGGGCTACTGATATTTTACCTATCGATTGCAAATAACGTATGAACGAGGACTTTCCGGCTCCGACGCAACCTTCAACGGAGATCTTCAGTATTCGGGGCATACCTTGATATTTGTCTTGATCGCTGCTCGGACGTCGGTGCGGCACACGGGGTTCGCTGACTGGCGCTGGGTGACACTCGTCACAATTCAACACTGTTCGGCGGTCGCTGCTGGGCGAGGGCGGAGGAGCACTTCACAGCACTGCACAGTTCGTCGCAATTCGGCACACTGGGCGAGGGCGGAGGAGCACTTCACAGCACTGCACAGTTCGTCACAATTCGGCACACTGGGCGAGCTCGGAGAAGCACTTCACGGCACTGCACAGTTTGTCACAATTCGACACAGTGGGCGAATCCCGGAGGAACACTTCGCGACGCTGCGCGGCGGCACAATTCGGCACAGTGGGTGAGGGCGGAGGAGCACCTCGCGACGCTGCGCGGCGGCACAATTCGGCACACTGGGCGAGCTCGGAGAAGCACTTCACGGCACTGCACAGTTTGTCACAATTCGGCACAGTGGGCAAATCCCGGAGGAGCACTTCGCGACGCTGCGCGGCGGCACAATTCGGCACAGTGGGCGAATCCCGGAGGAACACTTCGCGACGCTGCGCGGCGGCACAATTGGACACAGTGGGCGAGTCCGGAGGAGCACTGGGGGGCGAGGTTTGAACTGCTCGAGCTGCTGGACGTGACTGCGACTTCACCTGGTCGGCGTTAAATAGAGTCTGCTTTTTCGCGGGAGTGGTGGGGTTTTTTAGAAAGCGCCAACACCTGCATGCAGTGGTGAAATTTCTGTAATTGTTTTTCTTTGTTTATTGCCAGCACCTGTGCGGAGCTCTCCAGTGAAATCGAACTGGTACGCTTTGAGTGGTTTTCCGTGTGTGTGGGGCAGTGGGTGGCGTAAAGGCGCCACCATGTCTCAGGCGCCAACATTGTCATAAACGCGCATGTGGGATGGGGTGAGGTGCACTTGCACTTTTGCCTGATGGCGGCCTGATCCAGGGCACCGCGCCGTCGTCTCTCTCACACTCGCGGGGCGCCCGGTAGCGGCGCGAGAGAGACAGCGAGGCGCGCGGACGCCGCCAAGAGCCCGCATGCTTTGCGCTCCGCGAGCTCTTCTTTTCATCGGCACGCGCGCAACCGTTGCTTAATTTAATACTGGAGATGTTGTCCCAGTGGCGGAGAGACCGCAGCGTAGCGCCGCCCAGTGTGCCTGCCGCGCTGCAGCCTCGGGTTGTCGAACCTAGCGCAGCCCGGCCTAGCCTGGACTCTGTCCAGCGGCGGCCCGGGAGGTAGGCAACAGGCCGGGCGCCCGCAGCCCGTGCCAACGCCTTGCGGATCGTTAGACGGAACGAGCTGCTTTTCCCGCCCGTCGCTCCGTCTCTCTCGCACTCGCGGCCCGCGCCGTCGGGGTGCGAGAGAGACAGACCGACAGGCGGGCGGATGGGCGGCGTAACTGAACAAGGTGCAGCAGCCTGATTCCGAGCATCGTTCCGTCTCTCTCGCACTCGCGGGGCGTTCTGTGAGATCGAACTGGAACGCTTTTAGTAGTTTTCCGTGTGTGTGAGACAGTGGCTATTGCGTAAAGGCGCCACCATGTGTCAGGCGCCAACACTGTCATAAACGCGTATGTGGGATGGGGTGAGGTGCACTTGCACTTTTGCAAGATGGCGCAAGTTGTGGGTGTGGGGCAGTGGGGTCAGGTGACAACATTGCCATTAACGCACATGCGGGCTGGAGTGAGGTGCAGGCAGCTGCACTTTGCCCCCGGCAGTCGTGCTCGGGATGTCCGTCAGTGTGGACCTCGAAGTGCATGAGGTAGCGCGCGGTGTGTTCGAGGCGGTGGTCACGACGCGGCGTGCTGAGTCGGGGCAGCCGGTGCTTATAACAACGCGCCGCGCGGAGTGTTTTGGGGGCGACGCGCTCACCAAATTCGTCAGTGAGGAGGTGGCCGCGTTCCAGGCCATCGGGCTCGGCGTCACCTACCTCCGCTGGACCAGACCCATCGTCGGATCATTTCCGACGATGATACTGCGAATGGATTAGGGTGAGTCAATCCGAATCTTGCCTACCTCCCGCGCGGCCCGGGCGCGGCGCGGCGCGGCGCCGGCGGGGCTGCGGCGGGGCTGAGGCTTGTCCCCACTACGATGACTGTACCCTCCGCGACCGCGGGGGACTTTTTGGGTGGGGGTTACCCCCACCATGTACCAGGCTGTACCGCTCTGTACGGGGCTGTACCGCTCTGGAAATTGTGGGGTACACCATACTACTACGGTGTCCTACGGTGTAGGGGCACAGGTGGCGCGGTGCACTTTCTTCATGAAAATAGGGAGCGAGACGGGCCCCATGGCCCCATGGCAAGGAGAAGGAGGGAACTTGTGTGGAACGTAGAACACACGGCGCGGCGCGGCCCGGTGGCCTTATTCCGAGAGTCGCGTTCGTCGCTCTGTCTCTCTCACACCTCACGCCTCATGAGTGTGAAAGAGACGGAGCGACGAAAACGACTCTCGGAATCAGTGTGCAGTGCGGTATGGCCCACCAGCGCGGCCCGCCTGGGCCCGCCCGCCAGGTGGAGCGCGCGGAGTGAGACCCTCCCCCTCCCCCGCCACCGCCGTCTCTTGATAAGCCGCACACCTTATTCAGTCCGGAAATGCATTCATGGTCCTTTTCCGGCGCCGCAGCCCGC